GATCCCCCCCCCTCCCCCCCCCCCGGGGCTGTGTATTGGTAACCCTTGCCAACTTCCCCTCCTCTTTTCTCTTGCGGCCTCCCTCTGAAACAGATGCTGAGAGTCGGGGGAGGGGGGGGCCTCTTCGACGATCGCTCTGACGATGTGGCCAGACACCTGTGGTCTGCTAACGCGCGCACACACACACACGCACACACACACACACACACACACACACACACACACACACACACACACACACACACGCGCGCGCGCACGCTCATGCCCCTTGCCCACAGTGCCAAGGGTGGTGAGGGGTTAACTGGCGCCAGGTCAAAGTGACAACAGGCGCTTAGTCCAGTGGAAGGAAGTGACTACATCACACTCTCAGATGTGAGATCCTTCCTCCATCTACACACACACACACACACACACACACACACACACGCACACACACACACACACACACACACACACACACACACACACACACACACAGTGTCAGGGTGTGTTTTACTCAGCTGGAGTACGGCCCGGGGCAATGTTAAACTACTCACTTAAAGCTTGCTCCTGCTGCTGATGAACTGTGCATTAAGCACTTGGACATGCCTAAGCTGATAATGACCTCTCTGGCACTGCTATCCAAGGCAACACATCTCATTCGTCATTGTTAGTGCGCATCAAAAAAAAAAAAAAGAATCGTCTCACATTTCTTATTGAAATCCACCTCAGAGCAAATATTTTGATGTGCAGTGAAACATCGAGGTACCAACTTGATTGGTTCCGTGAGCCCGTTTGTAACTTGAAATGTTCCGAAATCAAGGTAATGTTTCCCGTTGAAATAAATGGAAATGTAGTTAATCTGTCCCAGCTCCAAAACTAAATCATGCATACTTTTTTTAACCACTTTATTTAAATAAATATAATGCAATATATAAATAAGTGGAAACACACTAATATGAACAAATATAACAATTAAAAATATATTACTTATTAATTCTAATTACGCTGGGAGGAGGACTACAGTTTTTTTCCCCCCCTTTTGACAAAAAATTTTGGGTGATTTCATTTAGGCTACCATGTCATTCACAAATGCAACCGCTACTAGATTTGCGATTGGATGATCAAGGATGTGTGGGTGTAACTTCCGCCTATGCAATGGCTTTCTGCTTTACGCTGCAGAGGGATCCAAGTGATTTTCAGTTTGCCGCAATGTGTTTGGTATGCATGTTGCCACTGATGGAGACGATACACAACATGGATCCATCTGCTCGTTCATGTCAAGGCCGTTTGCATATCGAAAACAATACCTAAACCGAGGTCATTTTTTTCCACGAAACTTTTGTGCCTCACCGAATTGTTCATAAAAAAGGGACGTTTGCAACTCCTGGTTCCGCTGTACTTGATATATCATTTCCATTCAGTGTGCGCTCAGGAGATGAGTAAGATGTTCTAAATGCGCTCCCCAGTGCCAATGTCCTAGTTTGCATTGGTCAGTGACTAAGTTGCAAACTTCACAACTTCAGGGAAACAGCACGCCGACTGTGGAAAGTAATGTAAGCAAAGTCCCTTTCGCGGTATCCTCTCCTTCGTCTTCTGTTATGTCTGTCCTATTTTCTTGATCCTGTCATGTCCAGACCAGTGGTTTGGAATGTGTGGTGCGGAAGATGGGAGGAGCGAGAAGAGAAGAGAGAGCGACCACATTGAGGGGCGATCAAACTGTCACAGCTCAGGACCACAGGCCTCTGGTGCAAGGCGGCGTGATTCATGGCCGACGGGTTACCTCACTGATGCCTTGACAGTCCAGTTCTCCCATGAAGGAATTGTTGATGTTGCTGCCATTTGCCATGCCATACATCAAGTTCCTCTGTCGCAATCCTGTACCAAAAATATCAGAGCTATTTCTTTCGGACGGAAACATACGTTCATGTGTGCCGAAGTGTGACTAGTGACCATGAGAAATACTGTAGGTCCTCGTTGCTGATACGTAAATGATGAAAGTCGGGAAAGGGAACTACATTTACGGAGATGTACTACATGGATCAGCTTTAAAAAGTCCTCCACCGGCTAGACGCCCACCACCGTGAACTCGACTTCTGGTTTCATTGGCTCTCTCTTTACTCAAGAGAAATTCAGTGGTCTACATTTCTCTGCATCAAGACCCCAACCTAGCTTTGCTCTCTGCTCACCATGCATACCACCATCCGCACTCGCCGTGCCTTCAGTTTTATGAACCTCTTCGTTCCCAATATCCACGCTGCCGTTGCCGTTATTGTATACCTAATGCCATCTCATGCTGTCATCTCCCAAGGTTTTGACTTCAGTAACAGTCACTCGTACATTACGCTTGCATCTTCAAAACTCGCAGGATTTATTTTCGTTTGAAGCTAACTTCTTATCCTACATGTTGTGTGCTTGAGGCAAACCCACGTGATGTTGGAAGAGGAGGCGGTTAATCCAGGACCAGCCGGCTGTCAACTATAGATCCTGGAGAAAAACACTCAGGTGAGCGAGCAGTCTTGAAATTGGCGGGATGGATATTTGTAAAGTTGACGCAAAGCAAATAATTGACTCGAAAGTAAGTCCTTAGAGTGCTCGTGGACTCGATGTAACAGAAGCAACGGTGTGTCACCGTCGAGGCGACAATTGGACTGACAGGATTCTGCAAAATCAGTAATCTCGACAGATCTCAAATCCCTCAATCCCAATAAAAAGTTACTCTGTGAGGGGAGGTGGTGGCGGAAATAGGACAGATGGATTTTTTAGGGGGGGGATTTTGGGGGTAGAAGATCATAAATACATTCATCAAGGCACGCTCACATAAACAGTTCGCAGGGGTCCTGGGAGGTTGGCTGCTCAGCAGACCACAACACAAGCACGACGCGGAGGAGTAAGAGGCAGCCACGGCGACTTGAAAGGCTTTTCTAATGTGGCCGTGGCACGACACACGCACACCCTCGCGCACACGCACACACAATAACCTCAACGAGAACAAGTCTCATTGTTGACGAGACGCATATGCACGCCATCCTCTGTACTCAAGCACATGTTACTTATAACCCCCATGCAACAGGGTGATTGTTTTATTTTTATTCATTCAATCTAACGCAATTTAATCCTTGTACTACAAGTACCGACTCCACAAATGTCACGTGAAATTAATGACGCTATCACTCAAATGTTGTCGGAAAATGCTATATGTCTGCGTTCAACGAAGATTTCCGAAATGGAATACCATGACATTTTATTTCTTTTTTTTCTTTCTTTTTTTAGCTTTCAAGAAATTGAAGTTGGGTTTTCATATCTTCAACAGCCATTTTGTGAGACAAGGTAATGTAAAGTGACACAGATTATAAAGAGAGAGAAAAAGAGAGAGCTATTCTGAAAAACACTCCAAAATATATTTCATAAATCATGTTTATTTTTTTTAATCCTCGCACTTCATCACTAAGACCTTGTTGATTCTCAATGCCTTCCATATGTTTAATCGAGACTAGTGCTTCACTGAGTGCAGTACGTCAAGTCAGTCTTGCAAGAGTAGCATCCAAAGTTGTCCCCCCCACATCCACTCACCAGCAGCAGAACCTGATGCAAATCTGCTCAGACCGAACCCCACACGATGATTTAGTTAGTACATCTCACCACCACGTTTCTTCCCACTGATCAGAACAATGGAAGGCGTGCGTGCACAGTGGACAAAGTTTGTGCGTGTGGACGTCGCATGCACACGTGCCTGCCCGCACGTCATCAGATTCCATTAAAGCAGTCTATTTAGTCCTTTGGTGGTCTGCGGATGACACTGCTGTGGGAGCCCTCTGATTCTTTCTCCTATCTTTTTCTTCTTTCTCTCTCTGCCCCACTATGTCTCCCCATCCTCTCCCTTCCCCTCTCTCTCTCAAGCAGTGGCACCCAAGCTTGGCCCCGACCCAGACCCACATCTTCAAACTGAGCCATCATACCACACCACGGCATGCTCTGAGCCCAGCCGCAAGGCCCTGATTAAAACCCATGACTTCAAACTTTCCAAACTGTCAAATCGGGAGAGAACCAGAGAAAGCGAGAGAAGGCGCAACAGAAATGCCTTACATAAAATCACAGCCGTGGCATTGACTCAATGCCAGGCAGGCGCTTTGTGTCACTCAGGAATACAGCTATTTGCATCTTTGTGCGTCTTATGGTAATTGGACTTCAAGGCCAAGCGACCAATTTGCAAGCGTCAGCCAAAGACGGACTTGGTGTGCAGTGTTCAACGTACAATATTCATCACATAAACAGTAGAAACATTCGGTATGAATGTGTTCATACGTTTTAACTATTGAGTGCAAAACCACGTTTTAAATGCTAAACGAGTGGTTAAATGTAATCGTGTTTGTCAAAACCTTTGACACTTGAGTTTGCCACAGTCTTGGGGCACGTTTGAGCATGCTTTATATGCCAAGAGTGCCCCCTACTGGAGACTTTTGGAATGGCGCGTTCAAGTCAATCCACACTGTGCAGAAGCACAGTCATCACATTTCTTTGCGCTCAAGTGGCAGGCCATAAACCATGATGATGATTTGGAAATTAAGCCCTGGATCCGTTGCAGCTAGAACGGTTCATTTCAATGCATATTACATTTCTAATGTTTTTCCCAAGAAACCACAGACAGATTGTTTACGTTGCCAGTGTTGGCAGTTAAGCTGTTATTTTATTATTATTATTATTTTTAAACAATTCCCCAACTTAAGCGTCATTTCCGAAGCAAAACGTGTAAAAATAAAACCACGGGCAGGTCAAACAAAGGTTTTGTCAACATCAAACTGACCATGGGCTGCCGGCTGGCCGTGGCAGTGAACCGTCAACCCTCTTCAATAAAAACCTCTGGAGAATTGAGGTGAACTTGGAGTGCAAGTGCGGTTGACCACCCAGGCACATGTCCTGGGCCCACTGTTGTTTTACACACAAATAGACATGCTTATGTGAAAAATTTAAGTTCAAGGTAATTTGGGGGCAGGGGGGAAGCAAAACAAAATGAGAACTGAAAAAAAAAAAAACATTGAATCTTATCCCTCCACATCTCTTCTCATCAGATGGCAAATATGATTGAGAAGAAAGTTGCCAGAGCAAATTGGAGAGTGACAAAGATAAAGAGGGGGATTGTGCATCGTATATGGTGCTCTCAGGGGAAACTCGCAATCATCTGTGACTGCCTTGGAATGCCATGAGGCTCGTGAAAGACATCACTTTTCTCTCATATCAAAACTTGGGACCCTGCTCTGTTCTGGAGTAAGAAGCACTGCTTTATATATCCGCAGGAACACAGGGCACGCTCCCGGTCTCCCAAAACGTTCGTCAGTCCTCAAACCAAACGTGACATTCGCTACATGTGCTTTCCGTTCAGTGAATTTGTAGTCAAACAACAGAGGACATTTTGTTCGGCTTCCTCTGGGTACACTC